CAAAATACAACATATACTTTAAGACTTTTACTCAAGTAATATTCCTAAAGGAGACTTTAACTTTTACCAAAGTAATTTTTTGGTAAGATACTTGTACTTTTACTCAARTATCACTTTGTGGTACTTTATACAACACTGCAGATGTCATAGTGTGGCCAGAGGAACCAGGTAATATGGAAAGTTGGACAACTTGAAACTAAAAATATAACTTTGATCCAGGACAGCCACGTCCTGAAGGACTCCGCCTTCAGCTTCAGTTAACTAAAGAATTGGTTTAATTTTGTATTATATGATCCCACAGACAATACAGATAAAAACACGTTGACTGATGCAGGAAAACGTTAGAACTGTGATCCTGGCTCTGTTCTGTTTGCAGGCTTGTACAGAGATCGAACTGTGTTATGAGAGCAATAATGTGACGGACATGTTTCCTCCCATGGCCTTCACCGAGCAGGACCGGGAGATTTACTGTTCCAAGCGCTGGGCTGTGCTTCCAAGGCCCGGCTGGCTCAAAACCCAGTTTTGGGGTGACGGTGAGTTTTAAGAACCACGACTCAGTCTGCAGTCAAACACTTGTGTGTCTTCAGACATTAATGCAACAGAAATAAGAACTGAAATCCACAAACTGATCAGGTCCAGTGAAAACATTTAAAAATGTTCTAAAGTTTTCTCTCGTACAGAAACCTTGTCTCTGAATATTTAGTGTAAACCTGCCTGTGTTCAGCTCTCTCTGCAGCCAGCAACATCATCTTCTCTAACGGAGACTTGGACCCATGGGCCAATGGGGGGGTGAGTCTTTAACCAGACCTGACACCCTGAACACAAGCAACGCTCTACTAGTCATGTTTCCATTGATTATCTTCAGCAGCATGTACTGTACATGTACATGTACAGTACATGTACACATGTACATGTACATGTACACATGTACATGTACATGTACACATGTACATGTACAGTAGACATCTTTCACAGAAATGCTCTGTGGTCCAATCCAAACCTGCTCTCTGTAATCACCTCCTGATTCACTGGATTTATGATCCTGTTGAAACTAACATGTTTTTAGAGGCTTTACTGATCCAGACAAATGTTGTGTGTGTGTGTGTTGTTGGCTATAAACAATTCCTCCTCTTGGTCGATTCTGTTCAGGTCCGGAAGTCCTTGAGCTCATCTCTGATYGCACTCAACATTTCTGGAGGGGCCCATCATCTGGACCTGAGGTAGGATGATCCTCAGCTCCCCTCTATCCATGTCTTTTGAAATAAAGTCTAATGGGACTCTTCTTTTTTTATTTTCCTCYCCTCTGGTGGTTTTGTGCAGAGGATCCAATGAGGTTGACCCGGAGTCAGTCATCAGTGCCAGACAGAAGGAAGCAGAGATCATTGCACAGTGGGTGGAGATGGAGAGGTCCAGATTACAAAAGACTCTGTAAAAAGTTCTGTTTTTACTTGGCCTCTGGACTGATGCTGGTACCGTATCCACCTGTAAGATGTATGATTGTTTAGTTCTTCCCATCAGTTAGAACCCTTGTACAGACAGCGTCTCAAGAATATAAAAATGATTCATTTGGATCACAGAATCAGGGAATTAATCCTARAAACTTCCTGGAACTCCAGTTTAGGTGGATTTTCACAGGAAAAGATAAGGAAACTTTATAACAAATCTTATGCATCTGGACCTGGATCAGGCAAACAAAAAGGAGTTCTGTGGGTTTTTGAGTGAATTTGATGAAAAGTGACACTGTTGTGAAGAAATTTAGAGTCATAATGCTCTGTTTACACTCTTGTTTAACAGGGTCCTCAATTTTCTCCCATCCTCTGTTCTCAGTTGATGGTTTGGTGT